AATAGTTGTGCATATATAAAGTATCAACTTCAAATTTATTATATTTTAGCTATAAAACAACAAAAAACCTACAGTTTTAAGAGTATATATGTGTAAGGATTTTGTATTTTTAAAATATAAAATATAATGAATTTTAAGATGATATGCATGTAGGTATAATACTATTAGAAGTAACGCATAGTTGTTTGTTTTGAATTTTTAGTGAAATTTGTTAGTTGGTGTATACGGAGTGTGTACTGTGAACTTGTGCATATAGGATATGTTGTCTACTCACCTGATGTGTAGAGAGAAAAGCAAAGCTAAGGTATATAAATCCCTCTGTCCCCAAACTAGTTTATCTTTAACCTCTACTATTTATCCTAAAATAAGTACATTCCTTTATCTATACGTGTGTGCAGTCCGCAAATCAATTTTACTCGTTCAATACCCCTTAGCTACCCATCAATACTATAATTTTCTATTAATCGAGGATACTTTGGTCTTTTTACTCCACATTAATTTGTGTTCCAATGGCTAAAGATGAATTTATTTGAGGACAGAGATGGTATTAATAATGGTCCAATTTGTACTCAATTATGTACAAACATGTATATATACGTACAAAAAAAGTCCATTTAATTATCCCCTAAACTATTTCATTTGAATTAACCGCTACAATATTTTTTTTCCTAATTTTACCCTAAACTACTAAAAATAGTTCACTTTAGTACTGAATATTATTTATCACCTTTTGTTTCTCTTTGTATCAGTCCTATTTTAAGCTAAAATTTTTAAGACATAAATGACACCCTATCAAAGTTCCCAAATATTTCTATTGCTATTTACTTTAAATTTAAAACCTTGATATTTAGATCAGCCTATGTACTTTCAACATATGCAAACGACAATAATAGAAATTCTCAAAAATGTTAAGAGGTATATGTTATAATGCATCTACTAACCCATCAAATTTCGGAGCATAATATGACATATATATAGACACAGACAAAATATTGTTAGGGAGTAAGATTGATCGTTTTTATATGAAGTAAGATGGAGTGCTTTTTATAGTTGAGGGTGTGAAATGAACCAAAAAAATATTTACGGGTTAAAAGCTCAGCGAAATAGTTAGGAGTAAAATGAATTTATTTTCTAGAATTCCTACTTTGGCGCAAATGTGCTAGCAACCGAACTGGCGAACACTTTATCCACTTATCCGTTCACTCGATCGGTTACCCCTCCATCTGATTCCCTTGGTTTCGCCCCCCAACCTTGATGTTTCGTTCCACCATAGATGAGATGCCGCTCCTAGCTCCCCTCGACACTACCAAGCGAGGTTCATTTCTTCCTCCTCCCCCAGCACCTTGCACACCCTGCCCCCCTTTTCTTCCTCTTGAGCGATTCTAAGTTCCCCTTCCTGCTCATCCTTGGCGAGACATTGATGGCGTCGAACGGACCTCGGCACCTCGCTACCAACTTCCACACGACGCAACATGTGAGCCGCCGCTCTCATAGACCTTATGTCTCTTCTTCTTTGGGGAGACTCGATTCTCCTTTCTCCTCCCAGCGAGATATCAGTGTTGTGGGGAAAGCTACGGGAATGGGATATAAGTGAGCTCCCCTCGGTTGAAAATTTGAGTTTTCTAAATTTGGAAGTTTGTTATGTAAGTTAAAACTTTTGAGGTTATGATTTGAAACTTTTCAAAAATTCGGATATAAAGTTTCAGTATATAGTTGAAAATTTCTAAAGTATGAATTGAAAGTTTTCGACGTCGAGTTGAAAATGTTATGAATTGTAGATTTTATCGATTGGGTTGAAAATTTTATACCACAAATAGAAGAACTTTTGAGAGGTTCCGATTGAAATTTGAGATTTAGGAGGAAATTGATTAGGAGATGTATTCTTAATCCAAGTTCAAATAGGGGGAGAAAGGCTGTGTTTAGATCCAAACTTTCAACTTTTTTCATCACATCAACCTGTCATACACACGTAACTTTTCAGTCTCATCGTACCAATTTTAACCCAAACTTCCAACTTTGAAAGAAACTAAACACAGCTAAAGCTAACTAGACTGTATTATGATAGAATCAGATAGAAGCGCAAACACGTTTGTCTAGTTCGCCACGCACCCCTTTGGCCCTTTCTTTTCTGCTATAGTACTACAACTGAAGAAACAAAAGTATGAAGCTCAGCCGCAGCCGCGTCAGCGTCATCCGCTGCTACTAGTCAATTGCTATCCGTCGAGGTAGAGCGGTGGCCGGGTCGATCTAGTCCGTCCATCCGTAAGATCCGACGGTTGCGAGGAGGCGAAGAGGTGTCCGGGCGGCGAGGTGGAGGCCAGCAGCAGGCTAATCCGCGGCTGGGGCGCGTGGGTCCCACCTGGCAGCCTCCAGCCCCCCTTGCCATCCGCACGAAGGCGCAGCCAAACTGTCGCAATCGCAAAATCGCAATCAATCGATCACGGGATTTCTCGGTGGGCCGGTGGGGCCCGCAGCGGGTCGAGCCTCTGACAACGCGGCTTCTCGGTTTGTCGCCTGCCTCTCTGACTGACAGACTGACAGGCGACAGCTGCTTGACCCACCCCACGACCACCACCGCCGCCGCGAGCCCGCGACTTTCTTCCCTTCCCCTTGAAGCAACAACAACCAGGTGATCAAACCGTTTCGGTCTGGGTCGACGCCCATTGCACAATCAATTTGTGTTCACACTTGCCTGCCTGACGCGTCCCCCATCGTTACTACTCCCATTTTGAGTTTTTCTTGTACGGGTTGACCACTCGTTTAATTAAAAAAGTTAGAATTATTATTTTTTATTTATTTTATTATTCAAAGTATTTAAGCACAACTTCTCGTTTTTTATATTTACACAAATTTTTTCAATAAGATGTATGTTCAAACAATACAAATAAAAACTCAAAATCTCTTATATTATGGGACATAGAGAGAGTACAGTCCTTTTGATGATCTGGCGGTGCACGTTGCTTTTTTTTTCCTTCTTCTCATGGTTGCTTTTATATGTATTTTTTTATAGGATAAAAAGAATGAGGTCTGCTAGCTAACATATTGTTCTTTCTAAAATAAACTTTTAACATTCCAAGGATAATATACCTGACTAGGATCCTACGGTAATGACTCTGATAATCGCCGTGACACCACCAGAATCCTACGTGACATGACACACGGGCATTGACTATTTTCTTTTTTTTTCTTTTTCCCCACCTTTCTCTTCTCTTCTGCCCTCTGCATCATGTGAGCAAAAAAATTGGAAACAAGAGAAGGGAAATAAGAAACATCACACTCCCTACGTTGTTTTTCTATGGAATGAAAGGATTGTGGCATAACATAATGGTCTATTTTGGAGAAAATGCAAATTATGGTGTTATTGAAAGAGCTTTAGTACTATGTTCCTTGACTAACAAGTACGGAGGGAGAGAATTAAAAAGGAACATGTACTTAAGCTGTGTTCGGAACTCTGTGTTCCCAACTCCCCCTTCTTGTTTTTCGTATGTTTCAAACTGCTAAACGGTGTATTTTTTTACAAAAAATTTCTATACGAAAGTTGTTTAAAAAAATCATATTGATCTTTTTTTAAAAAATAGTAAATATTTAATTAATCACGTGCTAATGTATCGCTCTGTTTTCCGTGCGGAGGAGATTTGTTCCCAACCTACCGTAACGAACACAACGTAGTTGTCCTAAAATAAAACATGTAGTAGTTGTGGACTTATATAATATAATATTGGCTACTATTCCCTTTGTTTTATATTATAATCCAATTTAACTTTTTTTTTCAAAGTCAATCTTTTAAAGTTTGATCAAATTTATAAATAAAATATAATAATATCCCTAACACAAAACAAACATGTTTATCAAACTATAACCAATGTCACATTTAATAAAACTAATCTCCTATTATAGATGTTACTAATATTTCTCTATTAACTTAAACCAAATTTAGAGGAGTTTTTTTTTGCGGTTATATAGTTCTAATGGAACATATATTATTTGTTGAATATTACTACTAGTAGTACATGATTAACAATGTAACCAGCGTGGCATGGCTTGGGCCGCAAGAAGAGTTGACTGCCCAGTTGACCGACACATGCCACAGTTGTACTCCCACCTTGTGTTGTGTGCTCAGGTAAAAATAAATAAAACGGCGTGGCTTCCTGTGCAAGGAGAGGAGGAGGAGGAGCACAGGGCACATGCGGATGCGGCGATGTGGCAGCCAAGAGGGAGGATAGCTGGGTCCCACGGTAGTAACGGCCGGCTTCACCAGCAGCCAGCAGCCAGCAGCCGCCCAGAGGCATATGCGTGCGTGGCACCGCGCGGCACTCCACGCGGTTTCTCTCCAGCTCTCCTTCACACTCCACACGCCGCGCATGACAACCCGCGCCACGCGCACACGCACACCCACCCCCCCCCCCCCCCCCCCGCCCCCCCCGCGCCGGCCACGCTTTTCTCTACCTGTGCCGCGCCCACGGTTCTAGTACCACTAGAAGTACTAGTACGGAGTGGTATTGAGTTTCTCAAAATTGGTCTTGGAAAAGTATTAGTTTCTCAAATTAGGCCTTTGAAAAGTACAAGTTTTTTAAAATGCAGGCACATTTTTTTGCCTTAAATTCCCTCTACTAATATTTTCTATCAGAAAATTTCCCCCGACTTTTTTGAAACTAAAATATACTACTCTAAAATTACTTACTAGTAGCGAAGACACCACACAAATGGGACACATTGGGTTTGAGGTAAAAGGCTTAGTCTTAAAAATCCACTGAAATCTTATCGAAATATAATGAAAATTCAAGTATCTAGTTTTGAACGTGTTACCATAATCTGGCGGCGGGGGCTGACTCAGGTATCATCTTAATGTAATTAATTGAGTCTAAATAAAGCTTCCATTATCTTAAAAAACTATAATCTAGCGACAACTCTGGGTACATTCCGCTGGGTACACCCACCCATTTTTGCCTCGAATGCCTTCCCCTCGACTATAAATCCCACCGCCCTCCCTCCCCCTTTCCCAACCACACCCACCCACCCGCCCAATCCATCCACCAAGCAACCACACCATCACCATGGCGAACCGCTGCGTCAGCCTCGACGCCACCTGGGCCCACCTCCCCGCGCCGCCTCCGCCGCCGCCGCACCACACCTGGCTCTCCCCCGCCGCCGACGACGCGATCACCGCCGCGCTCTGGGCCTCCATGGCGCCGTCCTCCGCGTCCTCGTACTGTGGCTCCGCCGCCTCGCCGACGCCGTCGACCTCCACCACCACCACCTCCTCCTCCGCCGCGTCGGCAGAGATCCTCGCGGGCGGCGGAGCGCGGGCGGCGACGCGGCCGAGCGGGCGCGTGTCGAAGCGGAAGCCGCGCCCGTCGCGGCGCGCGCACACCACCTACATCACCGCCGACCCTGCCGACTTCCGCCGCATGGTGCAGGAGATCACCGGCTTCCCCGTCCCCGGCGCCCACACCGCCTACCCCTCCGCCTCCGCGTCGTCGGCCCCGGCGGCCCCGCACGCCGCCGCAGCGCTCGCGTGCGTGCTCCCGACTCTGGACACGTCCGCGTTCCTGCTCGACCGCGCTTCACCTCCGCCGCCGCCGCCGCAGCCACAGCCGGGGCGGAAGAACGACAAGACGCCCACCACCACAATGGCCTCCACGCCGCCGCAGCCGCCGGCGGCGGCGGACGAGGCGGCGGCGTCGTCGCTGCTGCTGCAAGAGCTGGAGGAGTTGATCGGCGCGTCGGCCTTCCCGACATTGGAGAGCTGGGGGATGATCTGATTCTGACCTCGATTTCTCCTCTCTTTTTTTTTCTCCCATAAAATTTCAGGGTTTTTTTTGGTCCGTCCGATGCGAGGATCGGACGGCTGCGGGTTGTCCTCCCCTTAGCCAAGCTGATGATGATGTCGTAGCCAAGTAGCGTAGCACTAGAAACCAAATCAGCCTCTCTCTCTCGCTCTCTTTTTCTCATGGTGTAATTATTACTCCTTTCTGTTTGTTGCTCATCATTGCCTTCATTTAGTTAACGAGTTTAATGATATGCTTAATTAGTTCTAAACCACTGTGTCTTGATTCATCCGCTAATTTGAGCTGCCGTAATAACCCCACCGTGGTGATGATGGCACCACGTAATGATGTAGTGTGAACGCCTTTAATGTGGTATGGCTTTCGTTCACGTCGCTAGTGGCTCGACTCGTGCGTGGCCACAAATAAAAGCGCAGGCAGGGGGTGACGTGGACAGTGTTATCCTCCTACGTGATGAAATCAAATTAGCTGGAAAGGGTTAATGTGAAAAGCCTGCAAAGGGTAATGTGAAACCCGGCTTTGGCCGTGCTTGTCTTTATTGTACCGTGGTACGGACAGCTTTGACCCCACCACTGGACCTGCGACCCGACGACCTTGATCAGCCATGATCTCGTGGGAATATTTGCTCCATCTTTTTCACCTTACTTATTGTTCAGAATTATTTGATCCACGCTTACTATTCTTTAACGAACTTTTATCCACTTCATTTTATTCCAACTAAATGTATTTCTTAAAGTATTTAATTTACCATATAATCAATCCGTGACAATGAATAGTGTGCTACTATCCCAAATATAAGAAATTATGGTTGAATGTGATACATAATGGACTGAATAGACATATGATAGTATTACAAATCTAGACACACCATAGTACTAATGTTGGATAGATTCGTAGTACTAATGTATTATAATGTGCCTCATTCGATGCTAGGTTATATATGGAGAGAATATTAGCAAATAATCATTTTGAGATACTGCTATTAAAGGTTGTTTGTGATAGTGATAGGCCGAGTTTAGTTCCAAACTTTTTCTTCAAATTTCCAACTTTTCCATTACATCAAAACTTTCCTACACATAAATTTTCAACTTTTCCATCACATCGTTCCAATTTCAACCAAACTTTCAATTTTAGCGTGAACTAAACACACCCATAGTTAAGGGGTTGTTATGCCATTTCAAACCATATCATTTTTTGGTAAAATTAACAAAAATGTGTATATATTTAGTTTTTTGCTAAACTTTGGTAAGTATATAAGAAATTCTGTCAAAATTTTAGCAATATTGTCAATTTACCAAAATTTTGGAATTACCAAAATTTGATAAGGTTTATTTTGGCTATAATCTAAATACATGTATACGAACACACATTTGAAATATTAAACGTAGTCTAATAACAAAACAAATTACAGATTCCACCAGACGAATTTATCAAGCCAAATTAATCCATCATTAGCAAATATTTAATGTAGCACCACACTATCAAATCATGGCGCAATTAGACTTAAAAGATTTGTTTGGCAATTTCCTAGCGAACTGTGTAATTGATTTTTTTTTGTCTACATTTAATACTCCATGCATATGTCCAAACATTCGATGTGACAACGTGAAAAATTTTGTTTGGGAACTAAACAGGCACTAAGACAAGATAAAAGTAAAAGACTTGAAAACTTATGAAGTCCGCAACATATTTCAGTCACCCATGGTTTGAGCCTCTTTGACGTACACACTGCAAGTCGCCAAGTCCTGTAACCGGCACTCTTTTGCATTTGAAGAACATAAGCATATACGGGGCTACAACTTAAATGAGTACTCCAACATGAGATACTCATTTTTCTCTAGCAGAGAATACTGATCAATGAGATTACAAGGATCAATCATGACTTCGCGAGAAATAAATTATTCAGAACACACGCATTACAACATATCACCACCTGAACAACAGTATATGCACATTGGTTTTCTACATATATGTATATATATACGGAAAGTCGATATAACTTCTACCTATTTCCCTTCTGTATTTTGACCTTCTCAATTGATTCCATCGCATCCTCAAATGATTTCTGCACATTATTTATCAAACAGCTCATTACATTACATCAGTAAAAAACAATTAAGCAAACATTTGGCAGGAAGAATATGGTTCAAATGGCTTGGACTGATTTCTCACACGTCGTGTGTAATCTCCTCCTGCCATGCTTCTAATCAATCAAGTGTTCAACAACATATCAAGCAGACAGCTCACCCCAACCCAACAGTACTCAAACATCCCTAGGATGCTAACGGTACTCAAACATCCCTGGGATGCTTAATAGAAACAGGTTATCTATGACAGGATATAGCATCCCATGTTTGCACCGAACATTTCAGACATTCTAGAATGAGTAAAGTGCATAGGCGGTCCTTAAACTTGTAGGGTTGTGTCATCTAGGTCCCCAAAGTCTCAAAATGCAGATTCAGGTCCTAGAACTTGTTAAAGTGTATCATTTAGGTCCCAAATCGACATAGCCCCTCTAGGATCCTACGTGGCGCTGATGTGACACGCCACATGGACGTGGCGTATCATTCTCTCTCTTTTTTTTCTTCTTTTCTTTTTCTTTTTCCTTTTTGTTTTCTTCTAATTCTTCTTTTTTCCTTTCCTTTCTTCTGCTCGGGTTACAGAGAAAGGAGAAGAAAGGAAAAAAAAGGAGAAGAAAAAGAGAAGAAAAGAAGGAAAAAGGAAAAGGAAAAAAATTTTAAATGGGTTCCATTTGTCTCGTCATGTCCGTGTGGCATGCCACATTAGCGCCACGTAGGATCCCAAAAGGGGTTGTGGCGATTTGGGACTTAGATGACACACTATGATAAGTTCTGGGACTTGGATATGCATTTTGATAGTTTAAGGACCTAGATGACACACCATTACAAGTTTAAGAACTGTCTGTGCACTTTACTCTTCTAGAATTCCAGTCATTGGTGCAACTAGACTAAATGCACATTGTAGTAATTTAAAAAAGTAAGGCATGGACATATTAAAAATGCAATGCCATGGTTTCGTATGAAAAATGGCATATATACTAGAGCATAGGATGTGAGAATAACCTGAATCTACTATACAAGGGTCACCCTTTACTTTCTACTAACACACAATACAAGAAAGTACACACACTCTCTGACTCTCATAGTAGGCGCTATATGAGAAAAACAATACAGTTTGTAATCCATGTGAAATCAAACATTATATATGCAGATTAGATACTTTTCAACATACAAAACAAAAACAATGACAATAAAGAAACATATACTATCTTCTCTCCAGCATTGTTAAGTTAAATACATGGATGGTTTAATTTCCTGAAAGAAAACTTTTGCTCTTTCTATAAAACAAATGAAAATCACATGCTGACACCCTAAACTCTTCCATAGTGTTCGATGGTACACAATTACAATGAAAGGTTTTAGAAATCAAATCTAAATGCCATAGATTTTAATTAAGTGTCCTAATCATTCAGTCCTTGGCTCCTTGCAAGTTGCAAGGTTCAATAGTAAACAACCAATAGGGGAAAAAGCAAAGCTGTTTCTGCTGTTTGAAATTTTATATATGAACAAGTCATCGAAGTGATGCCGCTTTTACTTGGTAAACACATTTATCTCCATTTTTTTCTAGACCTTTCAGAGTACACTAGTGAAAGTTTCCAATTAACTCCCTCCTTACTTGCTTTTATTCAGCTCAAATTTCATAATTACCGATGAAATGAACAAACTAATTGCATGCCTAAAAATCTGCTATCAGCCTATCACATCCTTATGGACAACAATGTGCAAAGTAGCCACTCAATTCAATAGCCAGTGGGTGTTTGATCAATACATCACTAAGTTCAAAAGTGTAGAGGGTCAATTGAATGAGCTGCGAAATAATTCACATAGATGCAAGGAAAAAAAGAAGTATTGAAGAAACGTTATGCAGGGTGCTCCAAATAAAATGATAAGCTAACAAGGTGTATACTTACCCCAGAATTATTCATCTTCCAGATTTCTAAAATACTTCCATCAAGAAAAGCTGCTCCAGTCAGCAGTACACTGCAGTACAGAGTTGTCAACATGAGCTAACATCTCAAACTCTAAAATGCTGTTACATTTCAAATACTAAAATACTTCCAGCAGTAGAATACACAGAACTGCTGCAAAAAAGTAGTGTGTGGAATGACATGAGTCTCCAACATCAGGGTGCGTTATTTGACAGATTTTGACCCAATACATGGCATTTTGTTCTTCCCGTCACCTTGCTCAAAATCTATGTATAGTACCAGATCTGGCTGGTACCAACAATAGCTACTCTAATTTATTTTGGTAGTTGCTATCTTGCTGGTTTAACTGTCTCAGCAGTCGTTAAAATACAAACTGAATTGATGAGCTTCCTTTTTACGAAGAACCATTGGAACATCAATGGTCATAAAGATTTGATCCTTTTTCTTATGGAACAGCAACGATAATACTTTTTTATGGAACCGTTGAATCCACACCAAGTGAATTCATGTTTGACACAACAGAAATGGTCATAAAGACTAAATCCTCTTCTTTCGTAGGTCATAAATGGGCATGCAATTTCAACGGTATTCATTTTATCTGTACTCGGCAACATTTGCAGGTTTGGTTCTATTTTGATCTCGGTCAGACATACATGAACATCCTATGCTGTCCTATTATTTATGAACTTGGCAATTGCTTTTTCCACAATGATTCCCTCGAGAAAAGCCAGCAATGTAACGGATCAGCACAACAATCACGCAATGGCGGCATATCAAATCAGCCAAAGCAAGAAAAGCATCAGCGCATATGAGCAGCTTCACCTGGCGAAACCCAGATTGATGAGGAACCCTCGCCGCGTGACCGACTTCAGCAGCAAGTCCCAATCGAATCCGGCCGAGGCGGCGCCCCCTCCGCCCGGAGGCGGCCGGCGCCAGGTACCACCTCCGCGTCTGTGGCCGTAGCCGTAGCCGTAGTCATACGAGGCCGACGAGGAGGAGGCCGAGGCCGAGGCGGAGGCGGAGGCGGAGGAGGAGGCGCGGCTGTAGAAGGAGGACGAGCGGATGCGGAGGTCGTACTCGGCGCGGAGTCGGTCGTCGGAGAGGACCCTGTAGGCGTCGGAGGCGAGGCGGAAGCGGCGCGCGGCGTCGGCGCGCGCGGCCGCGTCGGGGGAGTGGGCGTGGCGGTCCGGGTGGTCGCGGAGCGCGCGGCGGCGGAAGGCGGCCTTCACCTCGGCCTTGGTGGCGTCCTGCCGCAGCCCCAGCGTCTGGTAGTGGTCGCCGCCCATCGCCACCGGCGGCGACGACCGCGGCAGCTTGGAGAGGATCTCGCCGGCCGGTGGATCACGAAATTTCTCGGCGAGGGAGAAGGGGAAGGAGGAGGCGATGGAGCGCGACGACGGTTGCGTGGCGTGGCGTGGCCTTTCTTCCCGCCGCGCGTTTCCTCGGGCCCTCTAAGCCCGGCCCAGTTAGGCAGTCAGTTTAGAAAATGGAATAAGTGCACTTTCACTCCCTCAAAAAATAAGTCAAATCTGATCTCGCACATGTCGAGGAGATATTTAACTATTTGCCACTTTTAGACAACTATTTGCCACTGGACCCACATGTCATAGACACATGTAGACCCACGTGTCATTGATATAGTGGTGGCAAATAGTTAAATACTAAATCTAAAAGTGGCAAATAGTTAAACGGTGCAAAATAACTAAGTTCAACATGACATTGAGATATGTTGAACTCTTAACTATTTAAACGGTGCAAAATAACTATCTCGGTGGTTTTTGGGGTGGTTTTTCACTGACATGGCCCATTGACCTAGTCTAGCCGCTAAGTTCGCTTCGCCCCGGCAGGAGCTTGCCCCCAACTGCTGCCACTACCCTCGTCCTCCCATCGCTACCGTCGTCGTTGTGGAGAAGGGAACCAGAAGGGGAGAGGAAGATAAGGGGGAGAAGATAAAGGGGGGAGGAGGAAGAAAGGAAAGAGAGAGGATGACATGTGGCCCCCATAATGATGACTTAGCGGTTGGACTAGGTCAATGGGCCATATTAGCGAAAACCACACTAAAAACCATCGAGGGAGTCATATGTTACACCAGTTTTAATAGTTAAGGGTTCAAAATATCTGACATTGCAATTGAGGGATACAAATTAGATTTGATGTATATTTGAGGGAGTCAAAGTGGACTTATTCCCTACAAAATTGTACTCCCTACAAGATGCTCCTACCCCACGCGCGGGGGCCTTGTACGGGGAGCTTAAGGTCCTAAGAACTTGTTTGTTGGTACTTGATAGCCAACTTCTGAGAATATAAAGAAGCTGATTTTCTAACTTCTAAGTTTAATTTATTTGCTAAAATATATAACTTCTGAGTATCCGAGTGATAATTTGAACTATTCGAGGGAAGCTTTTAGCAATTGCAGCTTTTAACAAAATCTCCAACTCCACCAAACATGTCCTAAGTCGCGTGTGCGGTGGACTAGAAAGGTATTGGTGGGGTCCACTGGTCGTTCCACTTCACCAAAAAGAAATCTTCCCACGCGCATGCCCCTTCCCTTTTTTCTTTCAGGAAAAAGTTCCTTCTGCGTGTGTTTCTTCTCTCTTATCTTGTTTTGGAGTTGACTTGAACAAACTTTCAACTTAGATTTAAAAATTTTCAAGTCAAGATTTTTGAAAACTTTCAACTCAGTTTTGAAAAATTTCAAGTCAAGATTTGAAAACTTTCAACTCAGATTCAAAAAATGTTTAACTCAGATTTGAAAACTTTCAAGTCCAGATTTGAAATTTAAACTTAGAGTGAAAACTTTCAACTTAGATTTGAAATTTAAACTTAGAGTGAAAACTTTCAACAAGGATTTAACAACTTTGAACTGAAGATTTGAAACTTTCAAATCAAATTTGAAAACTTTCATCTCAGAATTCAAAACATTTAACTGAATGCATGGTTTTTTCTCAACATACTCTCTATGTCCACAAACATAATCATTATGACCATTTAAAATGGCAAATTTTGTTATAGGACATCAAAAATCTGTTGCTGATAGATATTGTGAAAATGTTCCATGGCTAAAAGGCACTCTAAAAAACTAGTCATTTTCTAGAGGTTATATTTTGGGCTTGATTAGAGAGATAAATTCTGAAGAAAGACGAGAATGCCCCTAGGACCACATGCTTCAAACATGGCGTTAGAGTGAAAAATCTAGAAATTATGCAACTCTAAATTTGCCATCACCCCAAGTGCATCACTAGCATACATCATATTTCATCTTCACTTTAGCCTAAGCTAAAAATCTTTTAACACTATGTGCTTTTCATCTTTTTGAAAAATTTCTTTCTCCAATTGAGACAAAAGTGTCCTTCAGCAAATTACCTATTTTTAGGTTAATTTTTCGGTCATGACACTTTTTTTTATGTCTACAAGTAAATTATATAAATTTTTAGTGTCCTGTAATAAATTTTGCTATTTAAAACTTATCAGTATTTTTACATGTCCCATCAATGGTACCTATTTAAAATTTCTTTTTGTCTTACCCCACCTTGTAAATTGGGTGGGATGGGCCAACATGTTACCTACTCCCTCTGTCCCAAAATATAAGAGATTTTAGTTAGATGAGTCATATCCTCTATCCAGATTCATAGTAATATTATATGTCGAGTAAATTGTACCCACGGTACAATATCTTGGCAAGTGGGTACGATAGAGTGTAAAAACTTGAGAATTAAATGTCCGAGTGTAATAACTTGACAAATGGGTGCGTTCTAGTACAAGAACTTAACAATTTAGTATTTTGGTGTATCAACTTGGCTAAGCATATGCTAGGTGAGTTTTTTCATGATTTCAATATGCCATTACATAATAATCATACGGATATTATCTTATAATATTGAATTCAATCTTTAAGAATTATACTGGCACATAGTAGTACAATTTACATCCAATTACCTTTAAGAATTTTTTTGTTTTCTTCACCTTCTCAAATATCAACCAAAATATAATAATTTCTACATCCAGTTTAATTGACTTTCAGTTATTATTTATTAGGATAAAAATATAATACACTTATACAAATCCGCGCTAGTATATTGTCAAAATAAGTACTTAAAACTTGATTTTATATTAAAAAATGCTCCAAATAATTGAGTTGTTGCAAATTTATTGTATCAAAATCGTACCTAGCTTGCAAGTTGTTGCATTCATACGATCACTTATAAAGTTCTTATACTAAATTACACCTACATATCAAGTTGTTGCACTAGAACGCTCATTTCTCAAGTTATTGCATCAAATTGTATCCACCTGCCAAGTTGATGCACCTTGAATGCAATTTACTTTTCGTAGTAATATTATATGTCTTATCCTATCAAAATCTCTTATATTTTAGAATGAAGGGAGTACAAAACTATACTCACTGTTTTATTTGGGGTGGCCTATCAAAGTTACTGTGGATAAGATTTTTGATCGAGTCGTCTATAAATATAGATATGACTATCTGAATAGTTTCAGACTCCGCATAGTTTACTTAACTGTACATAAACGAAAAGGCCAAACGAAAAGGCTGATTGTTTGTTCAGTCTTGAACTTTTCGGTTTATAAGCTGGTTTACAATCCTAAACAAAGATAGATTAAATTTAAACTAACATATAGGAGGCTCGTTGTAACCTGAGCTACCACCAAGTATATGCACGCAGATTATCTGGAAATGTCTCACCATTTGGTGGGAATTGTTTCCTTTTGCATATTTGCATGCCTCACAAAACATCAAGTCAATATACAAAGAAGCGTGAATCAAGCAGAAATAGCTGAATAAATGAATAATGGATATGGAAACTTCACGACAATGTTAACAAATACTGTGAGAAAACTGAGAATCATGTGTAAAAAGGAAACAAATTTGCACGTATGATATTCTTTTCGCGATTTTCTTTTTATGACAAGTGCTCGAACACACGAGGATTCGAGAACGAGATCGACGCTTCCAACAGCCAAATCCGGCCATCAAATTGCTTTCTATATATACAACATTAAGAGATTCGCGAAAATATTTTTAAATAAGCTAGCAACAAAACCAGCCGCCAGAGCCTCACTTGCCATGCATGGATGATAAATACCGATTAAAAATCACGAGGCCAATCGAAAAAAAAGGGCAAAGGTCAAGAAAGAAATTAATGGCAAGTCATCAATCCAAGATTAGCCCGACTTCTATATAAATCACCAACCCCTAAGCAATCGTCGTACTCATCAGAACTCATGTGTTCCTAGGCTAGAAGAAACCTATATCACACCCCCCCCCCTTTTTTTTTTGTTGCGTTTGATAAGTAGAAGATTGACGATATAATATTGGTGTGATGTGAAGGGGATCAGAAGATGATGAAGAAGAAGAGCTCCCTTTCGATCCAATTCAGGAGAGGAAGTGGTAGGATGCAGCTGCCGGTTCATGGATACCTCTGGAGTGCAGGGCAAATAGTCCTACCCTTTCATGGGTTTGCATGACTCGGGAGATGAACCCGCCATTGTCTTCCTCTATTGATTGGATTGAAGGGAGCTCCTCTAGCTACATCTCTGTCATCTCTCTCTCTCTCTCTCTTTGATATTACTATATCATCATGCATGGTATGTGTATTAACGTTGTTTGCAGCTAGCTTCTTGTTCTTGATTAATTTGGGGTTTTTTTTATCACCACAGGAGTGAGTATACAATGACAGGAAAGCAGAAGAAGAGGTATAAATGTCACATCTTGTTTTAGGTTAGTTTTTATGAGATAGAAGGAGTATATATTAGTTGTCGGAGGGCCGGAGGCAGATTGTCCAAGAGCCATGATTATCAATTACGAGAAAATAAACTAGCATGTACACGGTACTTTTGTTTCTTTTTCTAATTTACTCATTCTGGTCAAGGAACAATATAATGTATATATAAGGACATGTTGCGTTCTGGTTTTCTGCAGTAATGAACGATCATTTGTTTTTCTTCTCCTTTTTAAGCTTTGATATCAATCTAAATATCTAACGTTTGAATATACATTTGTTCTTGAAAAAAAGTTTCCCTGTTATATAGCCCTGTTTATGTCTTTATTTTTGTCCTTTGGATTGTATATATATTAATTCTCACTCTATATTTAGGCGTTGTTCAGATTGATGCCAAAAATGATATGGTTGAAAATATCATGAATCTGAACTGCCTCGAGGTTATTAAATATTTAGGCGTTCGTGCCTTAGTACCTCGTAAACCCTATTCTTAATTTATTTATCACTTTTTTATTTTTAGTGCGCATGAAAATAGATGGCATGGTACTTTATTTAGATCAACATGATTTTTAAAATATTGATACAACACTTAGTTTAATTATCATAAATTGATTCTAAAATTGTATATACATTCAAAAGGCCTATTGATGGATTTAAAAACAGTAGCTTGTAGAGACCTAAAGATTTGCAATCATCTCAAGGAAATCCGTTGTATTTTTATAGCATTCGCTGTATTTTTTAAAAGAACAGAAATCTTATTTTTATTTTTCTGTCAACTGTTTATTTATGTGGGAGCGTAAAATCGTAATTGATCGTTACCAGCCACGAAGCACCAAGGCCATAACTAGGTGAATATCACGTTTAACGCTGAGGTTACCTTGTAAATTTAATTTACTAAAGGACCAAAATACAAAATTGCAGTGACATCCTTATCGTCTACTCCCTGCTAGGTTTTTCAACTCGACATCATATCACCCGCTATTTACATGTAACTCGAATAGCTAAAAAAAATTGGAAAAAGAATAGTAACATCAATTAGGATGATATGAATCCATAAACAAAAATACAAGACTAAATTTAATTTAGAACCAGAGAAAAAATAATAAAATCAAGGAGTGAATAGTACCTACACAACGTAGATAAAATTCGTTATTTTTCTTTCTTCATGTGTAGATTGAATTTAGATTTAATGTTTATATAGTGTCTTATATTATCAAATATCTTATTAAATTTTATAAATATTTTAAATAACTATTTAAACCACATAAATATATATGAACACCGTAGCATATAGGTGTAGAAAATACTTTTCCCCTGCCCATCTCCTCTCTCGTCTTCTCACGGAGGGCCGGCGGGGCATCCGGAGATCTCTTCCCCAATCTCTCTTGCCCACTCATCACTCTCTCCCAGCTCATCAATATGTTTGAGAGAGGATAGGCGGTAGCCATGCTTTTTTTTTTTCCTTTCTTTTTTTTTATCTTTTCTTTTTCACACTTTAATCTTCATTATTTTCTTCACTTTAAATCAATTGAACAAGTTCCAACTTTAACGTTTCTTCTTATATATTCACCAACTACAGTTCTACATCCTTCATCCTTCATTTATCAAATTCAACAATGAAAATCATCTCAGTTTGATCCAACGTCCCAGGCTGTCTACACTGGTTCCTCCCAAAATCGCAGAGTGCAGTTCTACATCCTTCATTTATCAAATTCAACGATGGAAATCATCTCAGTTTGATCCAACGTCCCAGACTGTCTACGCCGGTTCCTCTCCCAAAATCGCAGTGTGTCATTCATGATCAGCGACCACGAAAATCTCGCCTCGGCTTTCACGATAATATAGAATGATAAGATAGGTCACGTGATAAGAAAGTTTAGGAATTTATGGTTTTAGTGAAGGTCGAAAATTGAAAGGTTAGGACGGTAACCCTTTTTTTTTCTTCCATTACGCACGTAGGATTTCCGGTTCGGCAGAACTTTTCAGCTACGAAAAGTTGCAACATAATTCAACATATAACTCAATCTGTATATTAAACAGATATCCCAGGATGCGTCCAACCAAACCACTCAATCAAAATTCACTAGTATACTAGCAAAGGTGCCCGTGCGTTGCAACGGGAAGTGTACAGGAAAAAAAATTGAGAAAAAGTTAAGAAAAATTTATATTATGTAATTAATTAAAATAAGCAAAGGTGCCCGTGCGTTACAACAGGAAGTGTACAGAAAAAAAATTGAGAAAAAGTTAAGAAAACTTTACATTATGTAACATGTGCCAGATAACAATTATAAAAACAGATAGTAAATATCTATTTCTTTCTTTAATTTTCATTTTCTTACGTTTCAATTACTCACCCCTTTTATATCTTCTTAATATTAAGAGAATTGATGCATGGTGTACACGTATATATAAGAGATACATGAGCTGTGTGTATCAACTCCAGGTGTATAGAGAACTATTTAAGATGTATTAGAGCAAGGATAAGAGTTCACTTTCTATTATCAACCTATTTAGAGACAAGCTAGCATGAGAATCCACCAGAATTAATCGGTTTAGTTCTTTGCTTCAACAGACTGCTTCAGCTTTGGCTTTGCTCAATTCCTACATCAATAATTTGCCTGCTGTCTTTGCTCCCTGGAGAATAAATTTAAGAAACACAGTACGTTTTTAGTTAGAATATGTAGATATCATATTCGCAAAGAACAAAAGATATATCTACATATGCATATCCATGGCAACGTTGGTCCCTATTTTGAATTTTAGTTTACTCTTATTTGGAAGACTATATTTTGCAGACTTATATGAAAAAAAAACTAGTTCAAATTTCTAATTGATTTGATAATTTTTTGCATCTCTATGTATAACAAAATTAAAATTTGAGATTTTACAGCATCACTATTAATTTTGTTAAGGTCCACGAGAACTCTAATATTGTGCACTTAGCTACACTCATCCTTACCCGTTAATTTTGAATTTCCACAGTCAATTTTACCCTAGCTAAATCGTATAATAATATTATTAAAATAGCATTCACCCGTTACAGTTTACGGGCATTTTTCTAGTACTTATAAAAATTGAGGATGTTTTTGCCGGTATTTTGATACGTCATCCGTGTTTGAGTCAGTTTTTAAGATCGTTCACTTTTGGAAATACAGATCCATGTTTTGGTTGGATTTTAAGCTTGTTTGCTTTTGGAAATACAAAAGGAGTCCTATAAGAAATCTATTTTAAAAAAAACTTCGCATGCTAACTTAAGATGAAAGTCAGACTCCCAATTGCGGCTCATGATTTCTTAAAAAAAATTCAAACGGATTTCCACAGTAAATTTTATCCTAGCTAAACCGTATAATGATAATAAGATTAAAATAGTATTCATCCGTTGCAACTCACGGGTATTTTTCTAGTACTTATAAAAGTTGAGGATGTTTTTGCCGGCATTTTGATACGTCGTCCGTGTTTGAGTCGGTTTTTAAGTTCGCTCATTTTTAGAAATACAGATATGTTTTTGAGTTGGATTTTAAGCTCATTTGCTTTTGGAAATAAAAAAGATAAGAAATCTCTTTAAAAAACTCACATGCTAACTTGAGATGAAATATGGACTACTAATTGTAGCTTATGATTTTCTAAAAAATAAATATCCAAGCGAATTCCCACAGTGAATTTTACCCTAGCTAAACCGTATAACAACAATAGAATTAAAATAATATTTACCCGTTGCAACGCACGGATATTTTTTTCTAGTTAATACTTATATACAAGTTATATTATAGTTATAGTATAGTTATAGTGAAATTATATTATAATTATACTATAGTTATAGTTATAGTTGAAAGTTTTTCCCTTAAAAAACTTGCTGCGGTTTTTTAATAGTCTCTAATTTTTTTCAAAAAATTACATTGTGAATTAAGAGAATTTAAGCATGATTATATGAAGGTAAGCCTATGGCTCAAACCCAAGTTACCCTAGGCTTGCCTCCTAGAGTCTGAGTTTTAGCCCATCCTGTCTTATTGGTGACGGCGTCTAGTTCTCCCTCTATGGTAAAGAGAGACTTTGATTTGCAGTTTATTTAATTTTTCGATGATATCTTCTGCTTCGGTTGAAGAGCAATCGTTAGTGGTGATATGTAGGTGATCATTCGGTTGAAGAATCGAGCATAGATTTCAATGAGTCTTTGTTGCTTAGAGTTTGAATTCAGAACTTAGGTGGTGACGATGTGTATCCGCTTTATTGACATTAGGATCTTGCTACAAAGGTTTAAGAGGATAAGAACTACATACATATTATGCGGATTTTCGCCTTCCGCGGAGAGAGGTTTAGCATTAGAGGTCGTTATCATTGTCTTTAGGTTGGTGTTGTAGTTAGTTTTCTTGTTTTGTATCAACATGCATTTTGTATTTCTGCAATCGTTTTGGCTGTAGACTTTATAATAATTGGTTATAACTTCTTAGAAGCAAAGGTCAAAATGAATTTCCCAAAAAAAAAAAACGCCAGGTGGAGGGCGAGAGAATGGTATACATGGTGTACATGAGATATACATGAACTGTGTGTATCAACCAAATTCACATTAGGTGTATATAAAATACTGATTCAGAGGCATTAGCCATGAACATTTCACAAATTAAGAGACAAGCTAGCATGATGAATCCATCATATTAATTGGTTTCTTTCCTTAACAGACTCAGCTTCTTAATCGACGTAGTCTATCAAGGCCTTGATCAATCCATCAATTTCCCTGTGCCATCGTTGCTCCCTGGAGAACAAATTTAACAACAACCGAATGCTTTAGTTACAATGTGTAGATATCATATTCGCAAATATAAAAAAAAAGATATCTAGGTATGCAAACGCTTCTCAATGGTGGTCCCTATTTTGAATTTTTTTTTTAATTTATTCTCGCTCTTTTTTAAAAACAACTTTTGATTGGAAGACTACATTTTGCAGATTTTTTGTGAATAAAAAAATAGTTCAGTTTTCTCTTAAAATTGGTAAATTCTCGGATCTATAATGCATAATTTTGTGAAAAAAAATCATATTTCAGTTTTCTCTTGAATTTGGTATTTTCTCACACTTATAAAAAAATTATGAGATTTTACAGCATCAGTATTAATTTTCTGAAGGTCGACTAGAACACAAGAATGCACACTGATCAGCTGGCATACTATAAAGAACACACTCATCCTTACCTCATTTGCTGCTTTGTTTTTTCCTCTTGACAAAGCCACAAGCAGGGCGCTGCAATACAAAAATATATTCTTAGAACAATTTATAAAAATGCATTTGCTTATACATAATTTGCTCCCTCCTGATTTATTACTCCCACTTCGATCTCCCACAGTCAAATTAAATATATGTCAGAAAAAAGTAACTAATTCTCCCTCTATTTCATATTATAAAATATTTTAAGCTTTTTTAATCAAATTTTATTAAGTTTGACAAAGATTATAAAAAAAATAAAGCAACATTTAGAAAACTAATTTGATATCGTAAATATTTGCTAAGTTTCTAAAACAAAATTTTGACTTCAAAAAAGTTAAAACATATTACAATATAAAAACGGAGATATCGAAATTAACTACGAGCTGATCAGCTTAAGTATAATTACCTGCCGGTTACGAGCGAAAAGAACAAGATTACGGGCAGCTTCATCGACGGCGGCTGAGGCCGAGAGAAGCAGCGGCCGTAGCTGCTACCCGAGGCGGCGGCGCCGCCGCTCCCGCGGCTCGTGGGCGGCGAGGTGGCGGTGCGAGGGAGGTGGTCGTAGGCGGCGCGGGTGGCGTCGCTGTGGAGGACGGTGTAGGCGTCGTACACCCGGCGGAAGCGGCCGCCGGCGGCGGCGCGGGCGGCGGCGTCGGAGGCCGCGTGGCGGTCGGGGTGGTGCAGCGGCGCGAGGCGGTAGAACGCGGCCTTCACCTCGGCCTTGCTGGCGCCGCGCTCGATCCCCAGCGTCCGGTAGTAGTCGCCGTCGCCGCCGGGCGCCATTGATCGATGTCGACGACGAAGACGAAGCTGCAAGAGGTGTCGGGCTAGCTAGCTTCTCTTCGCGCGCGATGCAGTAATTTAGGATCCAAAAAACTGTATACGAAGCGATTCAATTTAGATCACAATTAATAGGGCGCTTGTAGCCTTTTGATTTCGCCTGCGAGTCCGAATAGAAACTGAGTCTGAGTTCGAGTAATACATTTCGATAGAATTCGATCGGATTTGTGTTTATAGGTCAGTCAAATCCGACTCTCTTTTGCCGGAAGAAGCCCCTATTTTTACACGCGCGTAATTCAAACGTTCGATCAACTTCTTGATCGACTCTAATTAGGAGGTGTTTCGCTCTATCAACTCCTTCACCAGTTATTAATCTATTCATTTCCCAGCCGTTTTTTTCACATTTTGATCAGCTTCTTTAACAACTGATTTTTTACAATTTGTCCCTTTCTAAAAGCTTATTTACAAATACACCTAAAAACTTATTTGTGCCTACGTCTAAACCCCACGTTGGCGTACGGCCTGGATTTCTCTGTCGCGTGTGAGATTCACGAGAGTTCATATAGTGGAATCCAATTTCTGGATTTGAATTTTTTTTTACTTAGGTCAAATCTATTACCGAGTTTGAATTTTAATTAATTAAACTCTTACTGTTTGCTGACAATTAATTGAACATGCTCTCGGCCTTGATCAGTATTCGTTACGGTAGATACAGATCTGATCAAACTTCAAAAGTCGCAAACAAAGTTGAAAAGGAAACAAACACTTTGGAAGTAATAATCTCAAACCATTACCCCCAACTATTACAGTAAATCACTCGCAATAATCAAATCTGATTTCCAGTTCTGCATTACCACCAAATACTCCAAATTCAACGGATGCAGTTCAAGTATGTTTCCCATTTGCAAGTAGTATTCTGATTTTGGGGGTGCATAACAGCATAAGCAAACGATAGAATACCTCTATGTACAGGCAACTACAACACAAGTCAGCACAACCTTTGCATTGCCAGAAAACCGGCTAGCTGACTTCAGATGGATTAATAATCAGATCTGTATACAGCAAACCCGTTACAGTGGTTAGGGAACAACACAATTTTCTCTCGCAAGTGTAGGAAAGTTTCATCCGCAATCTTATACTATACTCTAAAGACCCACGAGTTTCCGGTGCACGTGTTCATGGAGAGAGTGTTCGTCGCCGTCATGGTGATGGAATACGTATGTCAAAACCCCAACGAGGCACAGGACCGAGCCGACAAGGATCTTGTCGTAACGTTCCACCCAGTGGAACTTAATCTGGCTAGCACCGTAGAATGAGAGGGCCACCAAGGATGTCATCACTGTGATGGTACTGCAAGTGGGGAAAATACAATCAAACAGAAGAATTGGTAAAGATTTTGATAAATATCTGATCTATTCACATGCCAATTAACACAAAGCACACAAGGGAAATCTTGAATCACAAAAACACTCAATTCAGCTATTCTAGTATTCAGCAATCTTACTGATCATACATTGCACTGCACAAGGTATTTTTATAACGTTCAATCCAGCTATTCTTGTGTTCAAGATGACTGACCGGAATGCCCAATAGAGTGCACAACATAGAGATGGACCTATAGTTCACAACTGAGGTGTTGCTAAGACCCACCCTTGAAGGTTCATAACAGTGGCAGGGACGCAGGGTCTCAGGAGATTCAAAGGGTTATAATGTAAGTGGTTCTTAAGAATCTATTAATCTTGTCAGGCACACCGTTGAAGACTAAATATTTATCAAATACCACCATTTGTTTCCATACATGTAAAGCAGTCAGTTTGTGGGAACATTTCACATCAACTAAAGGGTAAATTGAGACATAACTTATCTTAAGATATTACACCTCATATAGGTTACAGAATGCCATATTGAGCAAATTCATTGTGAATTAAATATTAAAACATTTGTAGAATCCATAGTTATAAACACAACATTAGCTAGTTGGTAAACGAGGAAAAAGAAACATCCCAAAAGGAAAGGTGGCACATGGAAGTATAGGAGTATTTATCTTTCTACTTTACCACAACATACAGTCTACTAAGAAGGATATATTTCGATGTTCATTTTGTCCCAACTCAATGTGCTTTTGTATATCTATGGTAGCCTGGTAGGTGATACCTTGATGATTTGACCCAATGAAAAAAAGGGTTTTCAATACAAGGAGATTCCTATAAGCCTAGAGTGTGATACTCCTAAGTCCTAACAAGAGCTTAGAAAAACTTCTCAACAAGACAATCCCATTATTTTAGTGGAAGGATAAACTATTATTGTTCCCTCTTTCATAATGTGTTGCGGCTATAAAAAAAAGTATAGCAATTTATTGTTCGGTAGAAAACAAGCAATGCAACTGAAAACAGTGGAAAGGGGTACCCACCTAAAGAGGAGCACAATGATCGCAAGGATCATCATGGAGGATGAATTGCCAACAGCAAGAAACACTGGAAGAGTTGTTGCACAGGGTGATAATGCAGGTACAAGTACAAGACCTGCAACTGCCATCTTCTCCATTGGATGATTATGAGCATGGCCATGGCCACCTTTTCCCAGTGCAAACAGCAGGATATAACTTCCACCAAGAACAATCAGCAACAGTGATGCAAGTTTATGCACTGTTTCCTCGCCTGCTATAGTATTTGCCATAGTAACAGCAGTTATCCCAAGAAGAGCAGTGGAAACAACATGAAGGACGCCTCCAAATGCAGCTGCGGAAGTTAGGATATTTTATTAGTAGTGATATATAGAATAAGAACATGGAAAAGTAATATGAGTATTCATCACTAATTTATGTAGAAAATACTAGGGGGTAGGGTACAGTATGAAATTACAAAATACAAGTAACTTTCTAAACGCGTATCATAGCTGAGGCTAACAGCACAATAGTAACACATGAACAAGGAATCAAACAGAAATAAAAGGTTTATTTTATAAGATTTAGAAATTAGAACTTTTTTAATAAAAAATTATACAGTAAGCTTTGGAGGTTTGCAGACAATAAATACAACATAGGATGGAAAAATAACTACAAAGTTAGGAGTCTGGTCATTCAAATGCACTTTTTGTTATCCAAGTGATAATGCACAGTTGAACAGAAAAAAGAAGTGATTGTGCGTAGTTTACTGAAATCACAACAATCGTGCAAGATTAAGGGATAACAGGTTGGTAAGCTGCAAATATTATTACAAGATTAATTAGAAAAGTAAGCCTGATAAAGGAACACCAATGCCAATGATCAATCTACACAAATATAAACAGCAATAGACCTCAATCAAAAATTTTCTGTGTGTTCTGATTTAAAAAAATATCCCCATACTTGCGATGAAATACACATATCCCTGTAATTATGACAAAATAACATATTCACAGCATAACAAAACAGAAAGATGCAATATTGATTCAGTTTGCATTATTGTTCCCAGGAATTAATCATTGATCAACATCCCAACTAGGATATTGTGTAACTCCAAGTTGGATCAATCAAATAGTTGCAGGCTTGCAGTCTATAAATCGAACTCCATGCACTCACATACGGTACACATCTTGCAATCATATAATAATAGCGAAGCAGCACCGAACTTAGATGTATTCAACCCATGTAGTCACACAAAGTGAAAGTTGTATTGCCTGAACTACCGTTATGTACGAAACAAAAGGCGCATGGCCCTGAAGTTGGAAAACATGATAACTACACATTGTTGACAGAAATACATCCCATGGAACAGAGATCCCCACTGAAAAGATCACAGTAGAGGACTCAGAAGTTTACCTATCAAACTATGAGCAGACTACTCGATTGTCCACCAATTCGTCAGTAACAGCTCAAGATTTTCGGGCGAAACTTACTAATCGGTGCATGAAACCCACAGCATCAAGCAGTTAGCCACAATCCAAATACTATAACTTCAGTTTTGCGATAGAACATTGGGTTTTTTTTAGAATGCAACAAATTCGTCAGCACGAGCACACCAAACTAGAGTATCGCCATTGCAAGAAATGTGGCGCGTGCCCCCTCACCACTGACCCCGAAGATCTTTGGGGGGGGGGGGGGGGGGCGGTAGTAGCGTAAAGCGGCACAGCAGAAGCGAGATTGGGGAAAGGGAAGCGGGGGGGAAATTTGGGGGATACTGACTGACGAGGAGGGTGCGGGAGAGCGGCCACCGCTGGGCGCGGGCGACGATGGAGAAGGGGAGCCAGTGCGTGGGGATGAAGGAGTGCAGCAGCGACACCGTCGCGATGCCCCCGATCGTCGACGCCTCCTCCGCCGTCCACTGGAGGCCGCCCAGTCCGAACCCGCCTCCTCCTCCGCCGCCGCCGCCGTCCATGGCCTGATCCCGCCTCGCGTCGCTGGCGGCGGTGGGGTGTGGGAGAGAGATCTGGGAGGAGAAGCAGAAGAGGAGAGGAGAGAGAAGGCGAGCAAGTGGGAGAGGGCGAAGCGGGCTGCGGTGGGGCCCACCTCACCTCGGCTTATGGCAAATTAATCCCAGTTAATTACCCGTTTGCTGTGGAAGTGGAACTGTGGAAACCTGTCGATCGTCTCCATGGAAAAGAAAATTTTTGATATTTCTGACTTTTTATTTATAGGCCCGTGCTTTACAACGGATCTGTGAAAGGACTTTAGAGGTTCATCCTAACTCTCCTCTCATAAACTACATCATATTTTGCTAGAAACACGGTACAAATACATGCGCTCACAATACGCACACATAAGCACTTTCAGAAGACTAGGCTAGTAATCTTGAGATTCAAAAGAAGTCGCCACAAGCATCTATTGCTGGAAAGATAATTAGCCATAAATACTAGCACTCATGTCAAATCTAAAGAATAATTAGTTATAAATACGAACACCCATGTCAAATCTAGAACTTGAACCCGGATAAACTGGTTCAACCACATAGAATCTAATCACTTGAGCTACGCTCACTTCATCACCTTAATTGTTTGTAGTATCTGGATCATTTATCGATGGCGTGGGATACCATCCGGTTTAAACATATTAGGTTGATTAGTTTTTTATAATGGGCCTGTTCGGCTGTTATGTTTAGCAGTTGTGCTGTTGCACAAAGAAAACAATGTGGCTGTTGGCTACAACACAATGAAAATGAGTGCAGCCGAACAGAGCCGATATAATAGGTTTTTTAAAATCAATTTTTATAGGAAGGAAGTGGCTTTTAGGAGGAAGTGGGGGAGAGAAAGAAAAGGAGCATGACTATCTCTTTTAAACAGTAGAGGCCAGTTAAAATTTAAATTCAAACAGAAAAAAATATGGTGTTTGGAGTTATGTTGCTTGGAAGGTAAATTTTGAGTCACGGAGAACTAATTTGATGAGTAGATAGATCTTTGAAAAAGTTCTTCATCATTAATACTTTAGTCTTTGATCCTTTATTTCAGTTGAGCTGATCCTTTTTTTAAAATGAATTAATTGATTTTAGAACCATCAAAATAAGATTAAAAATAACTCTTTTCAAAGGCTGTTTAGATGATATGGGGAACTACACTTTTTATTTGCACTATAGATGGCCTGATAATTAATTTAGAGAAGCAAAATGTTATGTACATCATTCTTTATTTTATATTAGACTTTTAAATAGAAATTGAGATGTCACTCCATGAGCATTATTACATTAACCTTTTAAAACATTTTTGAATTATGTTTTTATAGTATCTCTGAAGTTAGTGGAGAGCGTGAATTTTCTGGAATGCTTCTGGAAAGAAGCTATCCATCTAGCAAAGCCGCTAATTCCACAAGTGATTAGTATAATTAAAAAGAATTAAGGTCAACAAACTTGAAAGGACACGCCACCTATTTGCCTGCTCCTATGCAGTTCTTTTTTATTTTCACCGCTTCAGAATGTCAATTGAGAAAGAATTGACAATGAAAGAAAGGACAAACTAATAAACACATCAACTTAGCTTCTTCCATTTAAAAGTATGCATGACAGTAACTCATCAAAATATGTTAATGATATCAAGTTGGCTCAATGTATTTTCGTTTCTATTCTTTGCTGTCCTTTTCCCCATTAGATCAACAAAATCTAAGAAGACCAATTGTTTCTTTGGAAAAAGAAAATAAAGATAACACTTCCGGTGAATATTGGTTACGTACCAGGAAAACAGTTCTAAAGTTTTGCACAATATTAGTATTGGGTGAAAGCTCAGATGAACTCACTATGTATAAGCAAAAAAGAAAAGGGTGAGAGATTGATAACTCTAGTAATATTTTTCATGCCTTGGATAGTTATCAGGGGCGGATCTACAGTAGTATGAGCGGTGTCAGGCGACACCGACGACTTTCAGCAAAATCTATAGCGAAACTGTTTATCCACATGTTATAACACTATGATCTAAGCATAACTAACATACTATGACACCGATAGACACGTTATGACACTAACGAATCGATTTTCTGAATCCACCACTGATAGTTATAGGTCTAGGTGAACAATCATGTCATTTTGGTCCATTCAGACAGTCACATAACAACAATGATAAGTGGACGAGTGAAATAGATGGTGGTACTCACCGCCGAAGCATTCGTGCGTGCACAGGCAACCGCACCCTTCAAGTAACTGCACTTAGTCTAAAAAGTCAAATAAAATTAACTACTAATACATTTTAGCCTGTCATGAATAAATATTAGAAGTTCAATAATTCATCTGTCCAATACATACTAGAACTTTTCTTATAAAAGCATCTCGAATGTATAAGTAAAATTGAACCATATATTAAAAAAAAACACAACACGCTATGACAACCAACTGTTGCCTATAAAAAAAATCTACCACAAAGAAAGAGTCAATTAGTTGAACTTAGCGATGAAAAAAATGGTCTGCCGTAGTTGGCTGGCCGCGCAAGGAAGGATGTGGGCATGTGATTAGAGATTTTTTTTTACATGGTTCCACAATTAATGTCAAACGTTACGGTCAACGAAAGAAACAAACTTTTGTTCAATCTTAGGGCATGTTTAGTTCCAAACAAAATTTTTTCGCTGTCACATCGAATGTTTGGACACATGCATAGAGTATTAAATATTTAAATGTAGAAAAAAAACCAATTACACAGTTCGCCAGCAAATTGCGAGATGAATCTTTTAAGCCTAATTACACCATGATTTGACAATGTGGTGCTACATTAAATATTTGCTAATGATGGATTAATTATGCTTAATAATTTCATCTCGCAGTTTCCTAGCGGAATCTGTAATTTGTTTTGTTATTAGACTACGTTTAATACTTTAAATGTGTATCCGTATATTCGATGTGACATGAAGGGACGAAATTTTTTGCCAACTAAACAGACCCTTAGTAATCAAATAAGAAGCGCAGATGCTCTAATGTATAAAAAATACTAGTTATTTACTTTTCTTAATCGTATCACAATTAGGGTTTAATGTTTTGGTTTGCTGATTTGTATCAAGGGTGGCCAAAATTTCTGAAATTTTGGTCCGAAATTTTACGATTTTTTGAATAAAATTTGAATAAAATATTATCAAATTCATGAAAAAATGAAAAGAAAATGGCCGAAACTATATCGTATCGCCGGGGGAGGGGGGGTCCGATAGAACCAAAATTTTGGAAATTTCAATCTGAAATTATGACCCCTGATCACAATCACCCTTTCACTTCCTACCATCCCCATTTAAGGGGAGATATCTAAGCCATTTTGCTTCCCTGCTAATTCATGTTTTGAATACTGTACAATTGCATTCTTTTCTCAGATGGTGGGAGTATATAACAAGTTGTATCGTGTTTGATATACGGCTTCACAACAAACCTCTCATATGTGTTGTTCCTGTGGAGGCAGCCGAAGAGGTTTACGGGTTTGTCAAGCGAAGTGCACATCAATAGAGTCCCTCGGATGCAGTCGTCGCGGCATTGCCGCAGTACCCTGTCGATTTGCTCCTTCATTGCTGCTTAGTTTCATTAGGAAGTTTGCTTCCCTTTTTTCAGTTAACCTCTCTCTTATTATGGTTCAACTCTTATGTTTATCATGGGCGAAGTATTCGGGATTTCAATTCCCTAAATGCTGTCATTTAATAAAGTGTTATGTGTTTTCTTTTTTTAAAAAAAAACCCACGGTGTATGATGAAAATGTTTCCTCCCTTTTGACCATGCCACTGAGAATTCCCCTAAAAAAGACCCGCATTATTCCAGACGAGGAAAAACTGAAGATTCTTGCAACCCAAACTGGATATGCCGATTTGGTAGAGCCAGCCGTCATTAGAGCCGTCCACCAACTCACGCAGCATCAGGTAGTCAATCAGGTTCAGTTTTTTTCCCGTCGGAAATCTCTGAAATCCAATCACAAAACGGAACAGCAAACGGCTGAGCAGTAGGGGGACGGGAAGAATGGTCGCTTTTTTTTTTTCGCATAGTGGACCTCCTGCAAGAACCTATTATTTCCGTGCGTTGGTAGAGACATTGACATAATGGCTATATAATCATGTTCTTCGTGTTGAAAATTTTGGAAGGCAAATAGTTTAATGAGTTGATTTTGTGATTGGGACTACCTATATTTATTCCGTCGTATTTTTCATAAAATATAGTTAACACGTACATACATCGTAAGTCCCTAAGTTATATATGTAATTTTAATGTATTTACAATGTAAGTTAAGTTGACGTAAATAGATGTAAATAGAAAATGCTAGTGCAAATTTAATGGAAAACTTATAACTAGCCATTAGATCTTGACTATAATCAGTCATAAAATGTGATGATAACATTTTAGCAAACACTTTGTGATTTATATTTGTTTAAAATTTTATTATATGACATGCAGATGGTAGACTTCAGCCGGCTATTATAGAGAGAACAAAGAGTGATATGTATTATTGAACTTACCTTGTAGGACGCTGATTTCTTATTGTTGTTATAGGAATTTGAATTTTTTGAAACTCGTGGATATTTCCATGTAATTTGGAGATATGTTCTTTTTCGCAAATTTTTCGTCTTTTACAGAGTATAAAACCAATATTTTCAGGAGCACCGATGCCCTCGTACGGAGTTGCTACGAAAATCAATGTGACGTCGCTGGCATAGAAAACTCGACACTAGTAGGACTTAACTGCAAAACGTAAATAAAAAAAAACATAGCTAAGGTAAGCAAATAATTCCGTTTACTACTACTTCCCTCCTAAGGCACCGTTTTCCAATACATGAAAATTTCATCCTGAGATATCTAAATTAATTCATTCACTTACTTTTCTCTAAAAAAACATGACCTAAATTTTCGAACGGCGATTGTAATTGGTAGGGCCTATTCAGAATCATGTTATTTTATACCATACCATTATTTAGTAAAATTGATAAATATATGATATTATTTAGTTTGTTACTAAATATTTATCATACCTAGAGAATTGATCATCATATTTAACCAGTCCTTAAAACCTTGATAGCGTTAGCAACTTACCAAATATTTTTGGTAAT